TTTTTTTCACACAAATGAACTGTGAAGCTTTGCATAGGAAAGCTAGTGATAATGAGCTCTGCTTCTGTAATGAAAGGACTAATAAATTGATACACCATGAACATTACCTAACATCATTTATTTTACAGTGCATAGAAAGTTGGTGGTGCCAAATGCGAAAACATCATGGTCAGTATTGGATGGACGAATTAAAGGTAAATTCAACAATGATATTGATCTATTTTTGTAATCGAGTAATTGTGTGATTGTAACACTATACATTAAGCTCTGTCCTGTATTTGCTTCCATATGCTGTATATTACATAGGATTGAAAATTATTTATCGGTTGCCAAATATCATGTACTCTGCACAACAGTAATAGAGTTTGACCACAGGCAGCTGGGATGTGTGACACAGACTGCATACAAATGGGAAAGTGAAATTGTATTTATAACATTTTCAGATTAAACAAAATGAACAGGCCAAACTCACGTTTCTTGATTTTATAAAATGTATACCGGTACTCTATGCAGCCACTAAAACATGAAAATAATCAAAAAATTCAAAGGCGTTTTACCGCTTTATTCGATAAATAATAAGTATCAGCTAACCCCCTGTAGGTACTCATTGCCTATAACGAAGACATGTGTGGCACTTCAGTTTGACATCATAATTCTCTACTGCCATGAGTCTACATTGTTTCACAAGTTTCTTTTTTCTTGTGCAGTCTGCAACACCTACATCAACTGTAACTCTGACTTATGCTGAAATATGTGTATACTGTAGTTATAACTCTATACTCATTTGTTCTAGGGCTTAGAGGCAGATGGATTTTACGACCCTGATAACATTAATGATAGGTAATACTTATGTCTGTTAGTTCAATTCAAATATACATTTTGGCAATTATTGTAATAGTTTCCAATAATTTAACCATAGTTCAGTGATTCAGGAGGTTTTAACATCATTCCCATTATGATATTCATTATACCATACCAGTTTATTCATACCATTTTAATTATTAATAGATTAGTTTCTTGGCCATAGATAATGTATTGTAGATACAAAGTTTTGTGTCTGCCTGTGTATCAGTGTGTTTGTCTTCCAGTTTACACTCTAAACTATGCAAATTTTAATCCTTGATTACACATGAACAAAATTGTGTAAATTGTTAGAGGTAGTGGTTACTCGAGGTACCGTAAGCTTCCAGAGCTTGTTTTACTAAAGTCGGGGGGTGTTAAAAAGCAGTAATTCACCATACTATATGCTTTAAAATGTTCACAGTAAAATTTGTTTTTATTTAGGCTGTCTTTGACTGCTGTGTATATGCCATTGATTGGTAAGGAATTGAATGACTTTGTTGATCAATGGAATGCACATCGCATAAGAAAGCAAAAGTGAATAGACAGACCATGTGGTATTCCGGAAGACATGTACAATTTCCCTGATAAACATGGTAATTATGCAATGAATAGTAAAACATATTAATGTAGAGACATATACTGTTTTTATATCCATATTATTTACTTTGTTGCACCGATTTTTTTTAAACTGTAAATTTATGTGCATGCATGTCATACTTTAGAGTGAAGTAATACTTGACAATTTACTCTTATTTGTAGGTGGTACCCAATGTGGTTATCCAGTGATCCAAAATGACCTTGATGAAATAAGTAGAAGACATTAGTTTGATGAGAACGGCCAGAGTTATTTACCCGATTATGTCACAGAAGAACAAATTATAGAAATATGTGGAAACATTGATGTATATAATGCCAGAGATAGCTATATTCTTCTTAGAGAGCACTTGCCTGCATATTTAACATAATCGTAAAGCATTCTTATGGTTGCCATTTGCCATACAAGTTGAATACAAGTTGAAAATTGACAAAATCTATATTTCGTTTGACAGCATACTCAGGTTTACATGTGGATGTCATTACAGAACCATTGAATGTGAATATATTAACATCTCATATGTAACAGCACTTCTGTCCTCAAGTAGAATTATTACAAAAAGGCTAAAATCTAGCAGAGCAAAGATAAAATCTAGTGCTGTTGATATATACAAGTTTACCAAGGCTTTTACTGATTGCTATACTAAAGTAGTGCCAAATCTGACAGGATGGTCTCCTGCATAATTAAGGACCAGTTCATTTAGCTTAACAGAGTTTGATTGTACCGGAAATACATATACATGATAAGCAAACTTGCATATGATGATAATATATATTAATATTAAAAACGAGGAGGTACACATAATTCCGGATATCCAGACTTTATTCAATTTCCATTTTTTTTCCCAGATACATGTAAAATTATGCTAAACTGAAAGTCAAAGGCTGTTATTCTATAGAGTAGAGCATATACATTGTATGGTAGTTGGAATAATTCAACTTTAGAATAGTGGTGTGCAACTTTGAGTATTAATTGTATTTGCCTACACAAAACATAAGCACATGAATATGTTAGTATTCAAAGGAAACCCTTACTACGAACATGTGTATCTATTGAATATATTATAGAATCACATTTGCCACTGTATTGTAAGATGTTTTTTTGTAAACAAGAAACGTGTGTGAAAGAAATGGGACACATAATTGTGATTTGTCTATCATACTTCAATATTGATCATCATAGTGAATCTTGTTATAATGACTCTGCTTAATCTATTGAAATACACAACAAATGCATTGTAGCTAAGACCAACACACCTATCTAGTGTACATTATCAGAACCTGGGATACAGAACTGCATGCTTTAATATTTGCTAACAAATCATTTTACTTTATATCATTACAGTAACTTTCAAATGTACTATGACTAAATTTTGCCCAGATGTTGATACACATTGTACATAAAGTACTTTTTGTGAAAATTGTCATTTTAATCTTAGGTTGTGATCACATTTTTTTTTAATTGTCAAATGTGCCACAAACACAAAATTATACGGTATTTTGTAGCCTTGTGATTTTTTACAAAGACACAGAATAGTAGATAATTCACAGGTGAATGTCACAGTCAGCTGGCGCACACGTGATAATAAAATAAATACGATATTTACTATATGGGGGCCGCCATCTTGAATGATGCATAAAACTAAATAAGAGACAAGTTGTGAAACGAGTTTTTCAGATTCCTACAAATCAGGACAGAACTACCAATCTTTCACAAAAATACGGTCCGTTGGGATAATATTTAGCCAACCAATAACAAAATTCGGCCGAATTCGTCGTTTTTCTGTGGAAAAATCCCTTGCATACGAACACCTAATTATGCGAAGAACATGGAACACTAAGTCGGGGTATTTGCAACTAAAAATTGACATTCCAGCACAGCAGCCAATCAGTGACGGCCTAACGCTTAGATGACAATTTCGGTTTATTCCTAAAGATTTCTGAATTTGTCTTGTTTACTGACAGGGTATGGCTACAGATGAGTTAAACATCTGCGGCATTCACCATCAAGTCTGTTTTCCACTTCCCACATACTGTGTATATTGAGGTTGGTACCTTGTCCAGGAAATCCCCCCCCCCAACAATTCCTTAGTGACCTCATCTTTAAATGGTAAGTTCTCATGGTCTAACTAAAATTGATGTTTTCAATTGGGTTGGACTAATTTGCAGTGTGCAAAAAGTAGAAAAGCTTGATCATTTTTAACGATTTGTTTGATAGCTGCATATGCCAATAAGCAAAAATGTTCATGTTTTACAAGCTTGAATAGTAAATCATTGTTACAGCTAAAAGTACATCTTTAAGCATTAATAATATGAAGCAAAGCACTAGCCTAATACATGTAGTTCTTTGTGTAAACAGATTTGTACTAAAATAATTAGCTTTCTCACTTGTCCTGTGTCTTACTGTTGAGCTTATTTTAAATATTGGTTCACAGTATGTTTAATCACATGCAAATTATGCATTATTATTATAAAAAAGCCTGTAAGCATCCACATAGGATCTGAAGCAGAGAGTTGTTCTTTCCATTAGACATCTCAGATACCTCAGATTCAGATCATGACAACTTTGTCGGGACTCCTGAAACTCTGAAAAAATAAACATAATTTACGTAAAAATGAGCCCAAGATGTTTTCAATATTACAGTCAAATGCAGAAAAGTGTGATCATACATTAAACAATCAGGAAAACAGTGTAATAAAGAACACAACACTTACAACTTTTGAATCTTCATCAACAGTAATGTTATGATCATCATGTTTCTCTTCTTCAAGAGGCTCAATACCTAGAGTGTATAACCACCAAATCTTCAGTTAACCATAGGCATTTGATTGCCATATTTGCTCTATTAGATGCACATCTCCTACATAAGTACACCTAAACCAAATATTGCATTTTTTGCATACATTTTGACTTATTTTATCCACAAAATAACCTCTGTCATGTACTTCCAATATAGCAAATACAGTATTGTAGTTTGTATTATTATGGGTGGAACAAAACAGCATAAAAATTAAAATTGTTAGTGTCAAGAAAAAGAAAAGAGAAGAAAAAGAAGTTATTCCAAAATATTATTAGTCTAAACATTACGTACATGTCAAAACTTTCCTCAAACAAATAGATTATCCATATATTTAAAAATAACAAAAATTGACTGATATGATATAAATTTGATTAATATGTTTCGGTTTTAGACTAACTGCATGGCTCTACCTTTAAGATTCAATAGAAGACAATAGCTGTTGCATAAGTTATGTTCTTTACTGAAAGTCACTATGCCAGTTTTAGACATGTTATCACATCCAAAATACCTATGAAAATAGTAATGAAGACAAATATAGTATATCATTTTGTTGATAGTTATTGCACTAGTATATGTAACAGTAAAGATGAAATATCAATATATAAATCAGGCTTATATATTTTTTGTCAGAAAAGAACTGAACAAATATTTTGTTCCCTAATTTTTTTGCAAGTAAAGTTGAAGATTCACTTAATTACTACAGTAAAGATTTTTAAAATTTAAATAACAGTATAAAAAATAAATATTAATGGTTAAAATATGTACTTGATATGTCACCAACAATGAATACAGATACAGATGTGAATTGCTCATAGTATACCTCTACAGAGAGTTTAATTGTACCTGTCTTCATGAATTATCTGTGTGTAATTACCTGTGTGTTTTCCACAGCATAGCATGTAAACTACGGACACATTTCAACCATGGATAGACACAATGACACAGCTATACCATCTGAACTATGGATAGACACAATGACACAGCTATACCATCTGAACTATGGATAGACACAATGACACAGCTATACCATCTGAACCATGGATAGACACAAGGACACAGCTATACCATCTGAACCATGGATAGACACAAGGACACAGCTATACCATCTGAACCATGGATAGACACAATGACACAGCTATACCATCTGAACCATGGATAGACGCAATGACACAGCTATACCATCTGAACCATGGATAGACACAATGACACAGCTATACCATCTGAACTATGGATAGACACAAGGACACAGCTGTACCATCTGAACTATGGATAGACACAATGACACAGCTATACCATCTGAACTATGGATAGACACAATGATACAGCTATACCATCTGAACTATGGATAGACACAATGATACAGCTATACCATCTGAACTATGGATAGACACAATGACACAGCTATACCATCTGAACCATGGATAGACACAATGACACAGCTTTACCATCTGAACTATGGATAGACACAATGACACGGCTATACCATCTGAACTATGGATAGACACAATGACACAACTACACCATCTGAACTATAGATATACACAATGACATAGCTATACCATCTGAACCATGGATAGACACAATGACACAGTTATACCATCTGAACCATGGATAGACACAATGACACAGCTTTACCATCTGAACTATGGATAGACACAATGACACAGCTATACCACCTGAACCATGGATAGACACAATGACACAGCTATACCATCTGAACCATGGATAGACACAATGACACAGCTATACCATCTGAACCATGGATAGACACAATGACACAGCTATACCATCTGAACCATGGATAGACACAATAACACAGCTATACCATCTGAACCATGGATAGACACAATGACACAGCTATACCATCTGAACCATGGATAGACACAATGACACAGCAATACCATCTGAACTATGGATAGACACAATGACATAGCTATAACATCTGAACTATGGATAGACACAATGACACAGCTATACCATCTGAACCATGGATAGACACAATGACACAGTTATACCATCTGAACTATGGATAGACACAATGACACAGCTATACCATCTGAACTATGGATAGACACAATGACACAGCTATACAATCTGAACCATGGATAGACACAATGACACAGTTATACCATCTGAACTATGGATAGACACAATGACACATCTATACCATCTGAACCATGGATAGACACAATGACACAGTTATACCATCTGAACTATGGATAGACACAATGACACAGCTATACCATCTGAACCATGGATAGACACAATGACACAGTTATACCATCTGAACTATGGATAGACACAATGACACAGCTATACCATCTGAACTATGGATAGACACAATGACACAGCTATAGCATCCGACAGTTTTAAAATTTGAACTAATATGTTAGATCTAATGATTTACTCACAAATCTTGATACAAATCTGTATCCATCACTTCCCAGGTGGCAAGAGCAATATCCGTTAAATTTAGACCAACACCTGCAGTAAAACAGAAAAATACTACTTTAGTCATGATGAAATCTTTATCCATGGTAACTACATTGCTGACCATCTTTTTATATCATTATGGATGAGGCATGTCACAATTGGGTACGTA